GAGGATAACCTCCCTCGACCTGCTGGCCGCAGTCTTCTAAATGCACCTCAGGTACCACCATTAGCCTTCAAGGGCACATAGCTGGCTCATGGAGAGCTTGCTGTCCACCAGGACTCCCAGGTCCTTCTCTGTAGAGCTGCTTTCCAGCAGGTCAACCCCTAACCTGTGCTGATGCTTGCAGTTATTCTTCCCTAGGTGCAGGACCCTACACTTGCCCTTATTGAATTTCATATGGTTCCTCTTTGCCCAGTTCTCTAGTCTGTCCAGGTCTCAGTGAATGTCAGCCATAATTACTTGCCATTAATTAATGAAGAAACAGCTCTGAGGCTAATCCAATGTAGAGGAGAGGGTCACAGGGTACTGCAGGGCTGCCACAACATCAACACCTCCAGCACCCAGCTGGAGCCCCACGTGCCTCAGGGTGCTCGGTGCTACACCTGCAGGGCTGCAGAGCTGGGCACAAAAGGTCACGGGACTGGAGAGACCTCGGTGGCCTTTAGTGCCCTGAGGAAAGGCAACGCTGCACAGTGGTGCCTGTGAGGTGGGAGGAGAGGAGGAGAAACACCAGGGATGTGGGGATGGATAGACTCAGTTCCCAGCTGTTCCTCAGAGGACTTGCCCAACTTTGGCTGAGCCAGGAGAGGCAGATAAAACTGCCCCACTCTGTCCGTGGAGTTTGGCAACCAGCACGCCAGGGCCGAGTCCAGGTGAGGAAGAGGAAGGGCAGCACTGGATGGAAGCGAGCACCCAGACACCAGGCCAGGTGCTCACCAGCAGCAGGGCCGAGCAGAGGTGAGCAGCACCCTTCTTCCAGGTGCTCAGAGCTACGGTGAGAGCAGCGGGAGAGGCAGAGCCCGTGCCTGGGGCAGCCTCCCTTTGCTTCCTGACACAAAGGCAGCCACTCGGTCAGAATTAAACATCAAATTTATTGCATAATACTGTACTATGTACACACACATCGAAAATAAACATTTGATATAATTGTATATTTGTCTTCAATGCTGCATTAGAAAGAGGCTGGAGGGCTCTCGGTGTAGCCCACAGCTTACCTTAAAAAAAACCCAGAAGCCTAAAACCTTTTGTTACGAGGTGCTAAGTTCAATACTGTATATTGAACGTGGTGCATAAATACTATGTCCTAATAACAAGTCAATGTCAAAACAACCCTAGGCTTAAAATGAGATTTACATCAAGACCCGAAAAACGGGGGGGGATCATTCAAACTTCATTTAATGGGGGCGTGGGGCTAGGGGAAAGAAGATAAAGGCTCTCCAATCTTACAGGATAGATTTAGGTAATGATTTTGCCTACTCAAGTCCTCATGTACATTTCCAGTCTAATTCATGCAGATTGTCCTTTAGGGCCCCCCAGCAAAACAGCTGCCAAGTGAAAGGGCTCCTCTGAAACAGCAAAATAAAGTAACTGCAAAAAGAAACCCAATCCCCAAACAGAGGGTCAGCACTCAAATGTGGATCTCGTGCTTCTTTCTCTTCTCTAAGCTGATGAGACTGGAGAGCTTGTACACACCTCATACACGTACCCACCTCATACACTCACAGCCCTGCACGCTCACATGCGCGTGACTCTGCTGAAGAAAGGTGGCAGTGGTAAAAGCAGCCATCTCACTTGTATTGGAATAACAGGTCTGTTGGGATGGAAAAACAGGGCTCGGTAAAGCCCACCTGTCTAACTTGTAGACTCGCCAAGACGGAAACACAACACAAGAGATGCAATTTGAGAAACCCATTATTATAGGCAGGGTTTGTCCTTCCACAAGCCTGAACACAAACTCCGCTCCAGAGGAGGTGGAGGTTTCTTTAAGACGACATTGCTTGGAAACAAAATTTGAGACAAGTGTGGAAAAACAAGCTGACCCCCCCAAACCATCAGATTCTTCATGAGACATCCTGGTGCAAAAAGAGAGCGCATCGCTAATACATCGCCCTGGGGTTTGCAAATGGCGTCCCAGGCCAGTACCATCCGCCAAAGACCAAAGGGAAGAAGGGATATTTCCATTCAAAGCAAGCAAGAACCAGCTTGCGTTTAAAAAGGGAGGAAAAAAGGGTGGGGGGAAATCACAGCTTTTCAAAAAGGGGATCACTATTTCATCCTCAATTTCCACCATAGCCTCAATGCAAGGGACATCAAAATATTTAAACCGGACTAAAAGGAGAGGCAAGTGTGTGTGTAGGGGCAATAAAAGCAAACTACAAGAAATTGCTGGGAGGGCAGTGTCAAGTTGGAGGGGAAACTACAAAAATGCCCACTGATTTCGTTCAGTAGATGAGAAAATTCAAAGCAATAGCCTCTCCCTGCTGAAGCCCCACAAAATGCTGGCAGCATCAGGCTGAGACTGCATCATCTCAATCTATTATTATTATTAATAATTATATTTTCCCCAAAAATGTTCTGATCCATTCCCTTACAAAAATAAAGCCAAGCCCATCATTTTCTTCCTCCGTACCCAAGTGTCTGTGCCCTCTCCCACACTGGTCTGGTCAAGCTAAGCTAAAGCCTTCGTAGTGATCGATGGCTTGCACCAGCCGGGCGCTGAGGATCTCCTTGCTGCTGTACTTGGGCAGGTCCAGGAGGTTGTAGCAGGTATGCGCCACGGGCAGGTACTGCTCCCCGCTGGTGGTGGACTGGATGACGATGCGCAGGCTGGACATGCCGTAGATGGGAATGCGGTCGCTGCCCGTCAGGAACACTAGGAGAAGCAGTGGGAAGGTCGGACAGTTAGGGCAGGCGACCTCGCGCCAAGGGCTGCACCTGGAGGCAAACTCCATCCGTACCCACGCAGCAGGACTCTGCCTGGAGGGGCCGAAATGCTGACTGAACTCAATGCAGGGCATGGCTGGCCTCACAGGGGAGCCGCAGGAGGGCAGAGGCAAGAAGCAACACCGCTGCTGGGTGCACGGATGAGTAAAAGCAGCCCAGGGCACCCTCTTCCTTTAAAAGCTCCTCTTATGCCCAGGCAGGATAGAAAAGGAGCAAAGGCCAGGCTGCCTGATGCCCTGGAGAGAGGCAGAGAGGGCCCAGGCACCCTCCCTGCTGCCACCCCTCCCAGGCACAGCACCTTGATGCCAGGACCAGGGTTGGTTCCTCCTTGCTGCTCCCCACCATATTCATGCATTACCATGTATTTCTCGTCGTCTCCCCTTTTGTCCCCAAATAAAGTGACCCCCACAGCAGCTGCTCGCATCTGTGGGCAACTGGGACACTTGAAGCAGCACACACACATGGAGATGCACTTCCCAAGGCCACTCCTGCAGGCATTTCCTCTCCTCAGCACACCACCCGCCATACCAGCACAAGGAGACCACTGTCAGGAGGGGAGGTATCTGCTACCCGGTCACACCAATACAGGGTCTCATTTTCCTGCCACACGATACACTAGCTTCTCCACTCAGCTGTCACCCTACAACTGCCCCGTTGCCCCCTAGAAAAAGAGTGCCGCAATGCCTGAAAGCTCAGCTTGCAGAAGGAGGAACCAGATTAAGGATGGGCACTGGGGACTGCCATTCAATTTAATGTAGACACTCCCACCTGAGTCTTCAATTTCAGGAGATACTCTGCAAGATACTTACAGAGAAATTTCTTCTTCTTTTCCAAGGGAAATGCATGAAAGGTTTCCCAAAACATTCTCACAGTTGGGTGCGTCGCAGTGTAGTCTCCCTTATAGACAGCACTCTATTAAAAAACAAAAAGGCACATCACTTCATTTGGCACTAGAAAGCAAAGACTAAGCAGAAACCAGACCTGATCTCTTCTGGTATCTGGCATCAGATCGATGTCTGACAGTTGTGAGATGGAGCACAGGATGGGTCACGGGCAATAGCATGGCTCAAAGACTCAGCAAAGGGTTCTCCTAGCAGTATGTGGCAGGCAGGCATTAGGTGTCTAGCTATTCAGCTAATTACATGTGCCATAAGGAATCCTGGAGTACCTGTTCACAGGCTGCACTCCTGAACAGGATTGTGTTCTGCATTGCAAAGCCACTTTTACTGCTGAGGCTGAGACAGAGCAAGTAACTTGCTGATCCATGCATTTTGAAAGGATACAACTCCTACTTTGTGTCCAGACTCCCCTTTGAACTCCCAGCTGTGTACTTTTTGCTCTTGTGCAGTGGAGCGGGTTTTACTACAGGTCAAGACCCTGACTTTTCTTTTCCATTCAGTCTCAGGTTTCATCCCTAAAAAACAGCAGATGGAAGTCCTTCTCCCCTGTCCTTTCTCATTCTGAATTTCCTCCCTGAGCTTTATCAGTAGCAGGAAAGGCCAATAAGAAACTTTTTATGTGAATGATGACAAAGGTGTACAAGAAGCATAAAAAAAAAAGACATCCATGGCTCATCACATCTCATGTCCCCTGCTAGTGTCCAACTCCTCATCCAACTGCGTAATCCTGGTAGTTGTGAAAAAGAAGAAAAATATGACAAGAGGGAAGCTTTACCTCCTCCAGTTCCTCCCAGTTGTAGTTACTGTTTCCAACTATCATGGCCCTGAGCTCTGTGGGCTGGAAGAGTTCCAGGACTTTCCCACCACACACTTTCAGGAAGCCAGTGGAAAAGGCTGTGTACCACTCATGGATGGAGAGGTTGAAGATGTAATTTACGTAGGCTTCAACAAATTCTTCCCTAGTGCATTGAGAGAGAGCAGGCAAAGAAAAACACTTTTAATCATATGCCTCAGCAGCAGCACTATGAAGTTTTCCTGTTTCTGCCTGTAATGCGTCTTGCAAACATGAGTCTCCAACAGCTTCAGGCCACTGCCCTCCTCTCACTAAGCCGAGTCACAGCAACATGGACAAACAATTAGGCAGCAAGTACCACCATGTGTCTGCTTATTCCCCGGGAGCGGCAGCCCAGGAGGTGCCCCTAGCAGCCCATGCTCTATACTACCAGTAAACCCACCCAGTGGCCTGGCATCCAGTTGCCCACAGGGCCGGGAGGGAGCCAGGGTGACACCAAGCGCCAGGGAGGCGCGAGGGACAGAGTCCTCTTCCCCATGGCCTGCACAGAGGCCATGTTAAGCAAATATCAGGACACTGTCACCAGAGGAACGTGCCCACCCACTGGCCCAGCTCCTGCAACCCTACATTTAGCACGTCCAGGAAATAACCTCCAGCTCTTCAGAGTCTGCGGGTGTCCAGGGTTGCCCAGCACAGGGCTCTGTGCCCACCTGCACCGACCTCCGACTGCCAGGCAGCTGTCAGCCAGTGCTCTGCTGGGGACAGGGAACCAAATCAAACAGACGGTGCCCAGAAGACTACCACTTCCAAAACAGAGAGCCTCACGGAGCCCCAGTTAGGTACCCTGTGAATTTTCAGAGGCAGCTGCTGCTGACTCGGTCCCCAATGAGCCTTGCCAGTGGTTCAGCACTTTCAAAGCCAAAGCTGTAGCCTTGAGGCAGACTGAGGAAATCCTGCTCTGAAAAGACTTGATCTGAAACTGCACGGCCAATTCCCTCCCTCCCGGCCCCAAAGAGAAAGCAGTTGAAAGAAACCAAGAAACACCCCTCACTACAGAGCAAGAAAACAGTCTTAGGAAACTTCCTCTTCAGTCTTCACGCTCTGGTTAAATAAATACAGGACTTGTGCATTTGGTGTACGTGGCAAAGAGAACGACTCCTCTCGGAATGACAACTCTGTTTTGCCTCAAGAGTTCCCAAGAACAGCATTAAAATAAAAACACCATTCTGTAGTCATTGGCAAGAAACTTGTGGCAGGCCCTGGCCTCTCTGGATTTTGTCAGGAGGATAAACATCTTTATTCTACTCTTTCTTTCCTATTCTCAAAGCGCCACGATCTGAGTGCAACACTAGAATTTTATTTGTGCAATCACTTAAAATATTTCCCCTGAAGTTTTGTGGTTGGTTGGGTTGGGTTTTTTTTATACCTGACAATAATGCACCAGCCAACGTGGCAAACTGGGACAAGAAACTATTCTGTGTGGGTGGAGGTGTCGTTTTTGCCTGATGTTCGAGAGCAGCTCACACTTGCACTCAGAGGATAAGCAGATCAGGGAACACCATGGAATCCGATACCTCAATCTCTAGCTGAGAAGGTCACAATTTAAAGAAATATTTTGACCTTTTGGTGGAGGAATTCTCAATGCATATACTACGTAAAAGCAACGAGGGATGGGTGAGAAAGTGAAAAAGAAAAAATAAGGAGGCAGACTGACAAATATGAAAACTTGGAATAAGAAATCATATAGCAAAGCGGGAATTATTTTCCAGCGCATTTGTTTTATTGTCATTTTCCTGATAGTCACCTGAGCATTAGGGAAATCCAAGCTGATTAAGCACTTAGCTGTTGCTTAATACCTCTCTGGCTGTTACAGTCATGAACCCTTTATCAAGAATATTTTGTGTTGTGACATCCAATACAAACTCCAAAGGAGAAAGGGAAAATGCAGGCATTTCCTACTTGGCACTTTTCAGTCAAAGCAATCCTGTGCATTCTGCAGCTCCCGGTGAACCTTACTCAAGCAGGAAAGGCAGTGCCCAAAGACACGCACACAGCAAACTATTCAGGCCAGGAGGGCAGCAAATTGGTCCCTGGCCTCTAAATGTAGGCGTGGAGGAAGTCATTAAGCACTGTAAGGTGGATGAATTGACAGCCATGTCTAGACTTGGATTTAGAGGTTAGCTTGAGTTCAAAACTCTGGTCAAGACGAAGCAATTGCATTTTGGAATGTGTTAAGCCGGTGGAGCTACAAACTAGCCTTTCTCCTTAAGGATTTTCTTCTGTGGTTGCCTATCCTGAGTTAATAAACAGTTGCAGCAGCTAACCTGAGTGCTCTTCCCAAACATTTGCTCAGCTAAAATCTTTGTTCCTCCCCCTAGCCCAGTATGGCACACAGTAGAAAAATGGCCCTTTTTCTTTTGAGTGTAAATGCCGAGCCTAAAAACCTAAAGGGTACTATCCCTGGCATTTTCATCTTTACTTCACTGTCACAAATGTAGATTAAACTCTCCTCTATTTACCTGAAGCCCATCTTCTCTTTGCAGGGAGACAGACTTACACTGCTCCATCTCCATGTGGGTTTTGCATGGAGGCAGCTACTTAGCTGTAAAATTGCACCCTTTTTGGGCAGTAGTAAAGTAGGTAAGAAGGTAATACAGACAAAGCTTTTGTTACAGCAATGGCTTCAGACACAATCAAAACCCTTTTAAATAATCAGATTAATAGGAAATGACTTCATCTCCAGGCTTGCCAGCAAGGTCTTCAGCAATCCTAGCACAAGCCCCTAACCATGCTGCTGACTAGTCACTGGATCACACTGTTTTGCCAGCAGAGAAAGAATTTGAACGCTGCTTCAAGTAATAAAGGCATTTGTAGAAATCCAATTACAGGATTATGAGAAGAAAATAGTTCAGCAGCTGGAAAAAAAAAAGGGGGGGGAAATGGTAGTAATAACTCTTAGGTGTTCAGTCAAATGGAAAGGAATCCATGTACAGTAGGGCCTTATGGCTCTAATGAGGGATGGTGGTCCTCCATCAGGTGTACTCAAGGGAAAGTGTTTCCGGTTCCAGAATTAATAGTATAAACAAGTTTGCCAGGCTCAGTTTTGTTGGTCATGTACAGTTCCTCTATAAACCATCAGGAGATTAACCTTCAAGGGCCAAAATCACGTTGCAGTCTCTATTTACCATGAGAAAACTGCCAAGGGTCTATATGAAGGTCTTTTATAGGGCAGATGTCCATCCAAAAGGGTGTGGGACATTTTCTGAACATTGCTGGAAAGATGATGAAAACTTGCTTTATATTCAAGTGCCACTGACATCCAGCAACTTTTGAACAACTGGTCTTAGAATTTGTTCACTGTGACTTCTAATTCTCTCCCACATTTCACCTCAGCCGAACTTTCTGTGGCGTTGCACCTGACTGCACCACAAGTATGAGTCCATGCCCATATATGTTCCACTTACCTATTGTCCTTCTGCACCAGAATTTTATCTCCATCTTCAATCAGGTTCTTCTGCTCTGTCACACCATAGCCTTCCCTGCAGATCTATACAAAACCAGAAACCTCATTTTACCAGAAGTACTTTTCAGGTCACATCCCTGCAGAAAGATAGAGAGTTCTCTTTCACAGCTGATGACTGGCTTGTGAAGGGTGGGCCATAGAAAAGGGTATACCCAGAACATTTTTCCTCTGCTCCAAATGCCCTGCATGCTTCACCACCTTCTATCATTTACATTTTCTGTAGGACTGCTATTAAGTCTAAATGCAAACTCAGAAAGGAAGAAAAGGGGGGGTGGGGGTTTGGTAAATTTCCTGTGAAAAAAACAAGAGATTGATAATTAAAAAACTGTATTTAACTAGGCCCACATACTCTGGCAATAAAAAGGATTCCCCTTTTTATAATAGAAGTTCACTGGGTTAATTCATCCACTCTCACTTCAAGATGGCATGACCACAGATAGCTTCCTGCTTTTGCCCGGCCTAGGATGGCACCAGTACAAACATATATTCTGTACATACAAAATCGGTCATGTGCAGAAAATGCAAAAAGGGTCAAACTTCAAGTTGTCATACATAAAAGAGGCTCAGATTTTGACATGCAAGATGAGTTATTAATTTCAAGATCTGGGATATCAGTCAGTTATTCATTTCAAAGTTTGAGAGATGTATCTGTATGTCTTTATATATTATGTAGTATATAGTGCAAGAGAGAGTAAGAATACCCTTATGCGTGGAAAAAAAAAAATTAGAGAAAAATCTCTTGTGTTACTTCAAAGGTATTCCTTTTTACACAGTCCACATTACCATCATTATGGCTTCATTACCTCATCCTGAACTGCAGCTCTGACCTGCATGGGACACAGTCAGACCCAGGTCTGACTCACTCCAGAGGTAAGTTTGATCTAAGAAACTTTAAGTGGTCTCATTTATGAAACTAGGAAATTGACAATACTCTTCTAGTATTGGCAAGGATTTTCTTCGCCGTGTGTAGTAGTGTTTCCTGGTACCTTGGTTTTACCTCAGGCCAGCCCTGGACAGAGTCAAGAACCCAGATCAAGCTCAAGATGAACCCATCGCTCACAACCTGGTAGAGCATCAGGACTTTAAAGCAAAGACATTGAAACACGGAAGCCCTTACTCTGCCCAAGTCAACAGAGGAAAACATAGCTTGGAGAATAATGATGCTGTGTCTTTTTGTGAGGTTCTAAATGTTTTTGAAGAAAGTCTGACCGAGTACACTCAATATAATTTTTTAACTTAAAAAGTATTAATATTATGACAGCAAGAAAAAGTCTAAATTGTGTTAGCATTTCAGGAACTGACCTAGTGATGTCAAAGCCTAACTTCCATTTTCAAGGAGGATTTAGGAATCTACTTCTGTCTAGTGTGAGAAGTTGGCCACTGGGATTTAAGTCATATGCCACAGTGACAACAAGGCTATTTTGAAAACCACTTTGCTTAACCTATGTACTAGCTCAGTTTTCATGACCACATACAAAAGAACAAGGGAGTTGACAGCAAAGAATTTCAACATTTTAACATCACCATTTAACATTAACATGGGGCATGTGCTAGAGGTATAGTTTGGAATAAACCATAATACACATGAATAAGTAGATGGCCTTCAACTGTATCATAACAATCATAGAGCTGCTATGTTAAATGTGTCTTACTGTAAAATTCAAGCAGAACGTCTCTTCTACATCTTCCCCAGGGTAATCTAAAAGTTGCTGAAGACTCCTACATGACAGGTAGGGAAAGAAATGAGGAAAAAAAAAATCAGAGATTCAAAAAGCCATTCATCTAAAGGGGAAAAGAAAATCAGCAGTAAACAGCATCATACATCTGGGTAATAGAGTTGCAAGAGAGAGAATCTCTGAGTCACCTGAAGGGGTAAGAAAGAAATACACCTCAAATAAAGAGATGCTTTGTTCGAAGCACAAGTTACCAATATAGTCCTTGCCTACCTAGCACATGGATATCCTTTAATGACCTTGGCCTTAGAATAGAATTACATTTCTAGTTCTTAAGGAGTGCGAGATATTTATGCCATCACCACGCAAAGGTCTGAGGGAGTGGAGGAAGAGAGGGTGGTGGATTATATGTATCCCCATCATGTAGAAAATATTTTTCTCCTATCCCTCAAAATCCTGCTGCTGCATTCCTGGCATTTTACCTCATTATTGTTAAATACAGCTGTAACTTTGTGCAGATAAATCAGACAGCAACTCAGAAGAAAAAAGAAGATAGCAGTCAGACCATAGGATCTTAACCTCTCAGTGTCAGAGGGAACCAATATCCCCATGCAATTAGGCAGAAAAGATTCAATACACCATTTAGAGAACATCATTCCTTCACTCCATTCAACTCCCGTCTTTCTGGCATGGGAGCAGGTCAGAGTTATGCTGGTTCAGGGATGGGACAGTTCACATCCTATGCACAGTTCCCATCCTGGGCGACATCATGAGACATGCCGTGGATCTGCTTGCTAAGACTGGCTTGGGGGGAAAGGCTGAGGCTAGGATCTGGGATCATGCACGCAATAGCACAGTGGAGGGACAGGCCCCCACCCCTGTTTTCATAGGAGTGTGGCAGGTGTCTTTGCTGTGTTGATATCCAATTTCTGTGGGTTGGGAAGGTGGGTACAGAGGTTAGAGCCTAAGCAGATGGATATGATAGCCTGTGGGAGAGGAAAAGTCTTACATAAAATTCACCACCAGCTTATGTACTTTGCTAGGATCAGCCCCCCAAAATTAATCAGTCACTCAAAAGGACCAGGAGGTTTTTTGTCGAACAGCTTTTACCCAGTTTGGCATTTCTTGTTCTCAGATGGATGGTCTCCCTTCCCAGAAAGGCTGCAAATTTTGTTTTTCATACCTTCCTTCCGTAGGGGATAGCTCCTTCAAATCCTCCAGGCAAGGCTTCACATTCAAGAGTTTTTTGTACAGAGCCAAGGGAAAGTGAAGGTCTACCACTGTGAAGTTGTATATTGCAAGACCACATATGATGCCAATCAAGTGAAACCAGTTGTGTTCTACAAAACACTGCAAAAACCAGACAGAGAAATCCTGATGAGACACACTGTCATGTGTAAAATGCACAGTACCCTTCCCCCCTGCACTAAGAAGCCAGTCCCTGCTTTTCCAACTGGGACAAAACCAGAGAGCTCCCATCGGATCCCAGTTTGGTTGCAAATTCCTTGCTGGAGTGTAGTATAGAAATGCAGATTCAGAAACCAAGCTCTATTACTTTTGTAAGCCATGATTAGCTGTGGAAACAGCAACAGCTGCTTTCTACCTTATCTGCCTTTTATTTCCTTTTTACATACCACTGCATTTAGACATTAACAAAGCTTCGAGGTTTGCTGTCTATGTACTGCCAGGAAACATGTTAACAATTATCACTCATCCTATTTTCTATTAAAAGCTTATGCATAACCCCAGTGCTACCCAGGCAAATACACTACCATAGGTGTTGGTATACTGGCCTTCTCCCTTCGCACATTTACTTTCACACCAGTACGTCAGTCACAGACTGGCTGCCTATATTTGTTAAATGTTGTAAATACGTGACGCATATTTTCAGTGCTTACACTGTCGTTACTCTTAGTGTCAAAAGACATTGTTTTTATAGCATTAACATGAGGAGCAATTGCTCTGTAATACTGTTTACAAGTTACAAAAGGTACCATGTAATTTCCTTCCTTGTAAAATGTAATTAATAAATTAAAAAGAACCCCACCAGGGCAGCTACACCTTAAGGGAAGGCTGACAACATCATTTCCCATCTTGCTACCCAGGAAGGTGCAGAAAAAAGGACATAAAACACCACCTCCAGCATAACGCTGTCCAATAGGTACAGAACTTGCACTCTGCACTCTTCCAAAACCAACCAACTTTCACTACAAACTGAGTTTCTTGCCATTTAAGAGCTTCCTCACATAAAGCATTAACAAGTTTAGACCCTGAAGGTGATAGTGATGCACGACCGAGTGGATTGGTTGCAGTTACGTGAACAGCAAGGGAAGCACAGAATTCTAATGTCACAATGACCTAAACATCTGGTTCTGTAAAATAGCACATGATAATCACATTCATGATAATAAGAGTTTTATTAACTGTCATCTGACACTTAATACAAGTTTTTATTATGGGATAAGAATAAAGACAAATAGCCAACTCCTTAACAGGCACAATCATCACCACTCTACTAAAGTTAATGAACCTATACTAATTTACACTGACTGAAAATAAGAGCTCACATTGTATCGTGGGTGGAAAATGAGAGGAAGGTAATTTCTTTCCCATACTTTGCCACTAACTTTCTTGTCATTCAAATACAGCATGTTATTTCAGCTTGCGTGTATAGAGGGCAAGGGCTTACCGTATCTGAAAACCACAGCAGGTTTGACTCTGGGTAGTAAGTGAACATGCCATAGATGGGGTTGAGGAGTTCTTTTAACAACAGGAGGAAAAATTCCTTTGTCACTCCTCCAGCGTCAACAGCTTCCTCACCATCAAAGATGACCTGTAGAAAAAGCAGGTCAGTAACAGGGATGCAGAACTAAGACTGAGTGAATCAGACATCCTTCTAATTGGGAGCCACGCAAAGCAATTTGTCTAACACGCCCAAACCCACTGCAACCCATTAGCCTGTTTCAGTGCTCTGCTTGCAGGGAGGGAAAGGCAACAGGGGGTGGCAAATCAGATATTTTGAAAATGTTTAACTCCTTATGCAAATCATAAATAACCACCTCTCCTCCCAACAACAGAAGCAGTAACATGACAGCAGCTGCTGAATTTTGTAGCAACCTCTCAGAGAAAAAGCATGTCCTATTGCAAGTGGCCTGTTCGTGCAGAAGAGCAAAACAGAGACTGCATAGTATCACAGAAATGTTTCCTCTCATGCCCCTTATACAGCAGATACAGAAGGAAAAGAGAGCAAACCCCCTGCTTGTCTTCTTGTAAACTGCTCACTGCCAAAACACTCCAGGAGTTGAAGAAGAGAAAGACTCAACCCCCACACTGATTAGATCAAGTGTCCCTGTGTGCTATACCTATGGAGAAGCCACTGTACGCTGGTGAAGTGGGAACGTGAAGGGCTGAAAGGCTGCAGAAATGTCATCTGGATGAGAGGGTGCTAAATGCATGGGGAAAACTTACTTTAAGAGGCTTTTTCAAATCAATGTCTGAATGGATGCTCAACTCCCTTAAAGCATCACCAACTAAGTTACTCCTGCGAACATGAAGTACCAGGAAAGGGCTTCTGGCCAGCAGAGGCTCCAGGGTTAAAAGCATGAAGACATTCTGCAAATTTGCACCATTTATTGCAACCTGTAAATAAGAGAGGAGTGAAAAACAGTTGCTGCTCAGCTCCTTCTTCCTATGGAAGGAAACTAGTTAACAATTATACACCCGGTGTTCCTTTCTTCCTCACTCTTTTAGTTTGGTTTCCCCAGGGTACAAGGATTACGTGTTCACTCTGCATAAGCGTGTGTGCATGTGTGCTTACCTGCCCCCTCCCCATTTCCCACACCAACACCTTTTGAGTCCACTGATTGATTCACCACATTTGAGCAACAGAGAGATCAAATTCCTGAACACTTTTTGACGTTAGGCAGGTGGGTGTGTAAAGAGAGACTTTATTCATGCTCTTATTGAGTCAAGAAACTCGGTGTGAACACAACCCTGGCAAGAGTCAGAGTCCACCAGGGAAAGCACTATTGCTAACATACCATGCAAGGGGCAGGCTGACAACCGCACCAGGCAAGGCCCCAGGAAACTCATCTTATACAATTGAAAGTTCTTGTCTGCATGGATTTTCTGGCATTGGGCAAGTCACAAAGTCCAGTCAAAGCTTTGACCACACATAGTATATTTATTCTCATGCATTGTCCCTACTAAGTGGCAAATTCACATTTGTAAATTCAGTTTAAAAGTCAGTTGATCCTGAGACAGAAGTCCACTGGAAACTAGGCTTCCTCTGTTCCAGTACTCCCAGAGGTACTGGTTTCCTTGGCCTCTAAAGTGGTTATCTTCATAAAGATCCCATCTCTCAGAGCAACAAAACCTTTACCAGCCTGTTGTCCTGCCGAGATAAGGTAGATACCCTCCTCACAGCAGTGCACTGCTCACAAACTGGGCAGCTGGAAATATATAGAAGAGGTGGCAAAATGAAAGCAGAAGGTGACTCCAGCTTCTGAGCGCAGGCTGAGCCTCCTTTGCCTTGCTGCGGGCTACATGCTCAAGCAGCCATAGAAAAGCTAAGAGATGGATATCACATGGAACCAGTACCATGGCCACAGGTAACTGTGATGACAGTTTTCCGCTCTGAAGGAATGTGACAATCAAGGACCTCAGCAAGCTCATTTCACAGAGGATGGGACTAATCCTAGACCAGCAGCTGCACTGGATGAGGGCCCAGTGCCCAATACTTGGCCCCTCTCAGGAGCCACCTGCATGAGCAATGCCTTGCACGGGAGGTTTACATTGGCACAGAGGCCAGCTGTCCTTGTCACAGCCTGGCTGTGAGCTGGCTTGGCTGCCACCTACAGGGTAAGGGTGCTGGAGCTGTACATCTGCCATAGAACACGCTCCCGGGGAACCTCCAGTCTGCGCCCCTCACTGCAAACGGGTGGGTAAGCTGCTGACAACAGCTGCTGCTTGCAACCATGAACAGTGTCAGGAGTTGGTCTTCAACCCTCACTTCTGACAACCACTCCTCCCGCACCAGGCAGAAACGTGAAAAAAGTACCCACTTACCTGAAAGTTCATCTACTTTTCCAGCCTTACAGCTGGAAAAGTACCTTATTTCTTATCCTTGGACTATCATAAATACACAAGCACTCCCTCACTATACAGTACAAATTTCTACCACATGCACACCTGGCACTTCTGATGTTACCAAACATTTTGAAGCGAAAGACACCAAGCACCGTCTCTGCAATATCCAAGACAAAGAGGTTCTCCAGCTACTCTGCTCTCTCATATTATGGAAACAATAAAGCCTTGTACACACTAACTCCTAGTGAACTCCTTTCCTTGCAGGCACCAATGCAAAAGGCAGGAAAAAAGAAATGGGGCAGGAAAATCGGGAGAGAGAAGGATTACCTGCATCTGTAGTTCTGCATCTGTCTGTAACATCTTGGTCTTAGCCTGAGCATCAAAGATGAAAGGATAAGAACAGAGTGTCACAGCATCCTGCAAAAAAGGCAGGTAGATTGGTTCCTATTTACAGCTTCCATAGCACTTCTTTAAATAAGAGTCATGACAAACAATTTTCTTACCTGCATGATGGATGGTCTTACTTTCTGTGAAGGAAAAAGAGAAACATGAAAATCTTTTGCACTTTTGATTTTGTGTCTTGTATATTTTTGGACGAACTAGTTCAAATGTGACCCAATGAAAACTTTTTCTGCTCTGGGACCAACAACCCAGCTTTTTCCTCTTAAAGAAAAGCACAGGAACTTCCTTCTCAAGAAAACACACAAGTCTAATTCAAAACTTGCACATCAAATGTTACTAAGAGGACTAACCAGCACAGAAGCCTGTGCTAGCCTGCCATAAGTGAAACTTACTCTTATGAAGAAAACTACTCCCAACAAAGCAGAGATCACATGAAAAAAAACAGGAGAGAGCATAAGGCCACAAACATGACAGTGTAAGACCGCTCTTGCAATGCAAATTACTTCTCTCATTAGCCATATGAATACATTTTTAACTATTTTTAACTATCACTGTTACATAAATTTGAGTCAATTATTGCTCTGCTTACTAAAAGTAAGCACAGAGCAGCACTACTTAAATGATGGAGGGGACACAGCACACACATTTAGAAAGCCCATAAAAACACACACAAAGAATTCTTGCTACAGTCAGGTTTTACTCCTGCAGCATCCCTTGGCAGATGTTCTTTGTTGTTTTCTCACACTTGGGATTCCTTTCTTTGCTTTAATTAAATAATCTCACTGGGTTCCTACACAGCATATTCCAGCCCTCAGTTATCTCCTTTCTTACAGACAGGAAAGTGAGGCATAAAAGAGGTGAAGGGTCTTACCCAATATCACCCAGCAGGTTACTGGAAGAGCCAGGAATAGAACCCACATCTCTTGAGTCTTGGTTCAGTCCCCTAGCCAGAACACCACACTGCCTCCTCTTACAGAGCAGCATTTTAAGATCATTGGCTACATTATTCACAATACCTGGCTAAACAGCAGAAGTAAAGGGTAAAAATTATAATTTTAGAATACAGGATTTGGCTCCTGAGGTCTCGATTACATAAAAAGATCCAGTGACTGAATTAATCCTCTTGTGCAAGGATTGAATGAAATTCACATGAATAATCACAGAGATTGTTGCAAGCATTAGGTAAATATTGTTAGCTCCAGCTCTTGTGACAGCCTTATTTTAAGTCAACTTTGTCAAGCCACTGAGTATCCAAATCTGAGAGACTACATATATAGATGCTCCTATACTGAATACTTTACACTCATATTAAGGATATTAAAAATACAGATCTCTACAAAGACACAAACATGGACAACTATTTCATGACTATACATAAAACCTCTTACCATTCCAGCCTGATGTAAGAACCACATGAGATAATCCTCCTGAATGTCCACCAAACTGGAAATCTCAGGGATGTAAAACTTGTCATATTCTACGTGTTTAACCTTCTGATTTACCTAGCAAAGAAAAAAAAAATATTTTAAAAAAAATACGGTTATATTCAACATTTTTCTTAGAACATGCAGGTTTGCTTTCATAAAATCAATTATAGCAGCTTGCAACAATAGTGCCCAGAAAGTCTTGCAAAAACACATGGTCCTTTATATTTTAGCACGAACCAAGAAGAATCAAGACAAACTTTTGACTTATTTTAGTTCCCCCTCCTCCCCACCCAGACTAACCAGTATCAACACAGTGGGAGCAGAAAGCATCATGAGCCAGATACTTGTGATGCCACAGGCCATGCAGTCTGGTGGCTCAGCAGCATTCTTTAGGGTAAATTTTTCCTAGCATTTGAGATAGGAATAAACAATCTTCAAGTACCCTGAATTCAGAAAAAACACAAACATCTTCCCCATATGGTGTTTTGGTGGACAATGACTCAGCTCACAAGTCAGGGCCACAACCACTCTGCCCCTGTCACTTAGCAAAGGGCAGACAAGACTGAATCATCTTGATGCAACACATGCCCAGGCTTTCATCTCACCTTGTGGAGTTTCTCCAGAAGTCTGAGAGCAGCTGTAATGTAGCTACTGAACAGGACTGGGATCAACAGTGTCTTTCTTCCACTGAGGAGGTAAACCACTGCGGCTTTATAGAGGTCCACGAGCCTGAGGAAATATCTTGGGCACACTTGAGACCACCAGTTTTCTGGAAAACAGAGGAATGTCAATATAAATCCTGAATCAAAGGCCAGAGTAACCCCTAAATAAGGGGTTACAGCTGAAAATAGGGGAACACATTTAAAGATTGTTTCAAACAACTTCCCTTTTCTCTCCTAACTATAGCAACAGGAAAGTGAGCAAAGAGCCAGCTAGATACCAGAAATTGAAAAGCTCTTCCCTTTCACTCTCATATACCCACCCCAGTCATTACCCAGCCCCAATCCCTGATCAGTGTGAGAGCCTGAATTCAAGGTGTTTCAACCTTGAATTCAAGCTGTTATTTCAAGTATCTTATATTCAAAATACTGTGATCTTGTGGGCAAACCATGAGTAATAACAAAGCAGTTGCCTGGGCAATTCTCCGTAGTACCACATACTCTTCTAGTAGGTGTCAGAGCATATCACCTGGCACATCTGCCTTAAAGGTCTGAACTCCCCCTCTTTAGAAAAGCCGATTTCTTTCTTCCCAAGGACAGCTAACCCTTACCTCTCCTCTGAAGGGACCCTGACTACTAGCTTCTTCGCTAGAACCCATCCACCTGCCAAGTAGAAGCTGGAGCCTGGGAAACCAGCATGTCAACTGTTAGAAACAAACACCAATTTTTCCTCTCAAGTGTCAGCACAATAGATTCTGGCAGGCAAAAGTATGAGAATCCTTTACATTTCTGTATGCTAACAAACACAGCGGACTACGTGCTCAGAGTAGAGGAGGAAACTTGGTTCCAAAGCCTCTTTGAGTAAAATAAATAAATAAATAAATCACTAAACCTCAAAACAAATGTCACTGAACAATGGTCCTGGAGGTCTGAATGCATTACATAGCATTTTACATGATAATGAGATTCAGTATAAGATAACCTTAAGAAAAAGAGCAAGATAACAAGAAAAGTAATAGCTTAACCAACATGAATAATAATCATTAAGCAGCATACGTTCTGTTTAGCTTAAAATATGCTCATAGGAAATAATATGAGCAGAAATTAGAAGATTCGGAAGTGGGAGAAGAGCTGGCATGTTCAGCTTGGTCATGGACCAGCCAATAGGTTTTTCTGCATCTTATGCAGGACAAAGTAGCCTTATATTATAGTTAGTATATTCTTTTATTTACCTTATACAGAAAGGATATTCTAATGTGAGCAATATCTGATTAAGAGAATAAAATCATTTAATCTTCAGGATATACAAAATCTATGTTCAGAGGCATTCAAATTTATCTGGAACTGAGTCTCTGAATGTAAGTAAACTACATAAGGCAAATTAGATTAACCTCCCTAGTAAGTGTTCTTTGAAATGGTATTTTACTTCTAAATTAAAACAATTCTTACCCTGAATTTTCTTTCTCATTTATTATCCACACCACCATAAATTTTATACGTTTTGTATTATTACAACTAACTTCCCATATCTTACCTGCATGGCACGTTCTTCATTTCCTCATAGTTCACGTTTAAAATTCAAATTTTATGTTTATAATTCTTTTACATGGGAACATAGGTTTGGGGGGGAGGATTCCTTGAGTCCTTTTGGTTCCCAGCTGCTTTTTAGAGGCGACTGCTTCATAACAACACTATATCACAAATAATACCCAATTATTGCAGCCGTTGTAACAGAATAGAAAAATTAAACCAACACAAAAAAACATGACTGAAAAACCTAAAGGCAACGCTTTGTGTCCCAGCTGGATACTGAGAGCAACATGCATCTTCAATGCCAGCCTCTTACCAAGAACTTTGCTGGGGTTGGTATCTAGGCGAAGAATAGCCATTGCTAGAGGAAGTGTTAATGTGATATAATACTTGGAGTCTTGGAAGGGTGGGAATTCGGGGAGAATCAAATAGATCCTCATTGCCTCGACATCTGGTGGTGAGCTGGACAGCTGAGGAATCAAAAAACTTTCAAAGCTCTTCAGTATCTAGAGGAAAACAAGACAAAAGAAAGCAACTTATCCTGGGTGATAGAGTACCTACAGTGTAGATGATGTGTAAGAACTGATGAAATGGAGCACACTCAAAATGGGTGAACTTAACAGCTTTTGCCCATGATCTCTTAAAACCACTCTATAGGACAGGACTAAATTCCCATTTTTCCAAAATCCATGAACGTTTGGATAGGTTTTTCCAGGGCTGGCTAAAGGTCACACTCCTGCTTTAGAAGTCAAACTCAGAGTAAAAAAAAAAAACAACCAAACCAAATCCCAGCAACTATAAAAAGTATAGCTAGAAAATGGCATGGGGAACATAGACAATTTTATCCCACAGCTCTGCACTCGTGAAGCTCCTCCAAGTTAGAAAAAAATTATACAACCATAAAGTACTCAACTCCTGACAGGCAAGAAACAGTCATTTACAAGTACACACAGAATTCATTTCAGCAGCCATTTCAAGTATTAAATGCCATGAGATAAAACTTTTTTAAAAACAAGTCTTAGAGAGACATTCTGAGAAGGTGAAAAGCAGCCCAGGTCAATGGAGAAGTATCCACTGATACCATGACAGATCTGTCCTGAAGATTTGCAATACAACCCTTCACAACAAAAGCTGCTGTTACTTGCACAGAGGGTAACTGTTGTTACAGAGGGACGAAGCTTTTATTTCCCCTCTGAATACCCAAAACCTCAGAAGTGCAATACCTGGTCTAGGAGAATGGAGTGCTGAGAGTTCATCAGCTTCTCAAACAGCACTCTGGTGGAGTTCAGATCAATCCCTGGGATCTTCGGACTGGTTTTAAAATGTTCATCGATTCTTTAAAAAAATCCCAGACAGACAAGCTTAAGTTTAAGGAAGCGACACCATTACCTGTGCATTGGCATGGCCTGGGAGCAAACAATGGAGAAATGACTTCTAGGGAATTAATCAGACTAGAAACAAAGCAGAAATTGGAAACTTCTTGGAAAAGACAAGATGGACAACTCTCCATTCTGAACTCCTCTAGGCCTTGGTTAGGATTGGGATTCTTGCAGAGAAACACTACGTCAAAGTCTTTGATTTCCCCAGGTCTCCTTTACTGACCTAAGAGCCTGCCTAGATAGGCTGGACTGCTTAAAAACCCCCTCTACTCCACTCCGTGAGACCCCACCTGGAGTACTGCATCCAGCTCTGGGGTCCCCAGTGCAAGAAGGACATGGACCTGTTGGAGTGGGTCCAGAGGAGGGCCACAAAGATGATCAGAGGGCTGGAGCACCTCTCCAATGAAGAAAGGCATGTCTCCAATGAAGACATAGTTGGGGTTGTTCAGCCTGGAGAAGAGAAGGCTCCGGGGAGACCTTACAGCAGCATTCCAGTACCTAAAGGGGGCTACAGGAAAGCTGGAGAGGGACTGTTTACAAGGGCATAGAGTGACAGGACAAGGGATAATGGTCTTAAGCTGAAGGAGGGTAGATTTATATTGGATATTAGGAAGAAATTCTTCACTGTGAGGGTGGTGAGGCACTGGAACAGGTTGCCCAGAGAAGCTGTGGCTGCCCCCTCCCTGGAAGTGTTCAAGGCCAGGGTGGATGGGGCTTTGGGCAACCTGGTCTAGTGGAGGGTGTCCCTGCCCATGGCACGGGAGTTGGAACTAGATCATCTTTAAGGTCCCTTCCAACCAAAACCATTCTATGATTCTATAAAATAAGTATCTATCATATGTATCAGGATTATCTGTGTTGTCTTCATATACACTAGTTCTATAGCAAAATCTATTTAATTACACCCAGTAAGAAAGGGAAGGGTGGTGCCTAAGAAGACAGTCACTGCTATACAAGGGAATATCAGATGAGGGTTTTCAAAAGAAAACAGGGAAAGATATTCAGAGTAGCTTTTTGGCAATTCCACTCTCAAACTTTCTAAAACTAAACCACCACCACAAAATACAGCACAGCTGAGAACAGTCTTCATCTGGTCTTTAGTTGCAACAAACATGTGCTGTCCTTTCTGCTGTGCTTGAAAGGCTGTCATTTACGTAGGCTACCTGTGTAAAAGGGATAATCAAGGCAAGCCTGCAGAGGACAATAGCCTAACAGCCAAATCTAGCAACATTGAATGTCCAGGCCAGCAGGTAAGCTACCCAGCTCAGCGTCTAGAGCATGATCGGCATCTGTAGCAGAGGCTCTCATCACCATCATCTGCAGTAAAGCTGCACATAAAACCTTGCAAGTCGCTAGTAAAAAAGGTCATAGCTACAATTCCATTGACCTCAAGGATTTCCCAAGTCTGTGACTATTCATCTGACACTGCGGTATTAGACGCTCTGAAAGAAAAGACAGCTACTAAAGATGGGATGCATTTGTCAGTTTGCTGGTGTGGCTATAACGATACGAGAAGCTAAACATAGCCTGCTGTAGTAGAATGGCTATTTCCATAACAGCACCGGCACCCAGGCTTGAAATAGCTCCTCACAGTCACACTGCAGTACAGAGCACTTCAGACTGTGATGTGCAGAAGTAGTATTGGAGCATGCCCAGTCACATAGCCAGAAAAGCTGCTTTTCCATCTAAACTTGTGTACCACAATGCTGTATTGCAAACAACAGGTCTATAAGGCATTAGGATACTGGAGGAATATACTAAGGTATTTCTATCAAGTGCACCATGACATAAGGCTTCACATATAGAGGTACCTGGTTAAATACAGCCTCACTTCAGTGTATGGTAGCTTCAATTTTTATAATTCATTTGGTCAAAGATTTTCTGTAAAATTTAAGTCCTGCACTAGCCAAGACCTCATTAAGGTGGAAGGAGAGCTGCATTGGGGTGATGAAGTCAAACTCCACTCATTTCCACATTCAAAGAAGACGTGGGACTATTTATAGTGACTCAACAAGTACCTCAACAAGTGTTTTAAACCAACATGACACAACTCTCGTTATGCAGTAACACGCTGCCTTGTCATCAACACTAAGCAGAAAAGTGGACAAGCAGAAAAACACAAGAATAATGAGTAAATTGTTTTCTTTTTCAAGTTGCTCTCGGAAAATATTACTCCAAGATTATTCAGAGTCACTAAGCTTTTCTTCACCTTGTTACAGGTCATTTACTCATCACATTACCATAAAAATTTTCTCCTCCTCCTCATCTTATGCTGTTACCTCCCCAACATTTACGGCCACAGCCAACACAATCCTTCCCAACCCACAGCCTTTGACTCAGCCAAGCATATTACATCCTTGTCACCACCTATTGCTGGTTACACCCATTTGAAATTCCTGCTTTTGTAAGCAGGAGCACCAAACTTTCCACAACTGGTGTCACCTAAAAGAAAAGTGCCTCCATGCTGCCCCAGATGTATTTTTCAAGAGCAGCCTGTGTTGAGGTATACCTCCACGCACACCAGCCCCCACCAGCTAGCTCAGCTGGGTAAGAGACTATTCAGATACCTGGCATCACTCATTTCCCTTAATGTCATATTCCTATCCCTCTCTTTTAAAGATGCTGATATTCATTTCATAAGGAAAAGTAACAGTTGTGAGAACTCCAGGGAATCTGTGCCACTTTACAATACACTCACCATGCACTTTTTTAGACCATGTGCCTTCCTTACCTAGCTCTGACCACCCACCTCTTTAGTGGACACTCTCTGCCCCTGTCTGCTGTCTGAACAGAAAAAATCAAATCCCACTGCAGCAGTGAGTGAAGTAAAGGGATTCCAGTCTGCCTCAAGGGAAAGCCACACTTCTGTAAACTTTGCCACTTACTTCTTCTCCAAGAAGCTTCCATTCCAGCAGGCAGCTGAGGACAGTATCTGAACAACATTACTGTTTGCAGCAGGAAGACAAAAGAAAACAGAGACAGAGGTTATGAACAGATGTCTCAGCAAATCTCTTCAGCTCTCTTCCCTTCCTTCTAAGGGAAACAATGTCAGGATCACCCCTTCAAAGGTATAGAGGGTAAGTGGTTCATTCAGGATCATGTAACATCCTTCTTTGAAAGGAGGGGTGTTAGCAATGCCTCCTTTCCACCTATTCTGCCCTTCTCATGGCAGGCACACAGGGGAAGGAATTTAATCAGTCTGTTCACAAGTTCTTGCTGCTTTTCATGAACTCTAAGCACACACTGAAGGACAACTTCAAAATCCCTTTCCCACCCACCATTTGCAATGTTCTGAGGCAGCCTTGAATTCCTCTGGTTTTGCTCAGAAGCTCTAGCCTGGCAGCCTTGTGACTGGCAACTCTTCTCCCCTTGGAAATAACTAAGAACCACACTTGAAAAGGCTGCTAAATTTCAAGTGAAAGCATGGCACGGAAGCCAACAAAATTATTTAAATAAAACTTTCAACAAAAGGCTTGTCCAGTGCCACAATACCTACTTGACAGAATTAGAACTGTTCTTTTCTAAAAGCTTTTGCCTCCAGACATCTATAGTTTCATCATTTATTAAACAGGTGTAACGTGTTTCATTTATGGTCCGGAAATCATCAGCAGGCAAGGAATTCTGTGAGAAGATACAGATTTCAGCAAAGACAAGGCTTGTAAAACAATTCCTTCTTATTTGTAATCTCTGTTTTCTGTATATAACTGATAGTTTCCTTAGTGTGGTCTCTGAATAGGTTTGGTTAGGGAGCTGTGACATTACTAAGAAGTCCAAAAGGAAAGGTATGGAAAAAAACAAGATCATCATCAAATACATTTTTAAAAAGAAAAGAAAAAACCCCAAAATATCATTTCCTTAAATGTACCAAAGCCCTCTTAAATACTGCCATATATAACCACAGGCTTAGTACATTTATTCTAGACCTATTTCCATGTCTCAAAAGTGCATGTCAAACACTTCTTGAAGGAAATAAGAACACACAAGCAGAAAAACCAATTCAGCATTCAGCCTTCCATCCAGCATATCTTGACAAAACCCCAGCGTATGTGGTCCATGGCCCTACGCTCTAATGACACAGACCCCAGTGTCTCAGGAGGAAGGCAGCCCCTCACTTCCAAGCTGCAAAGGAGATTGGACTCCCCTCCCTGCTAATCAAACTGAAATCAGTGCCTTCCCAATGGTTCTTTGACATGCCTCTAAAGGAAGGCAACTTTCAGCCACTCCTAAAAAAATCGTAAATCCCTATAACAACTGTCATCTTTGGTAAGGTTTGTAAGGCAGAATGGACTCCAAAGCAACACTTCACTTTTAGGAAGTATTACCAAAACCAAAAAAAAGATGTGTTATGAAGGTTGGGACAGGGGATCAGACTTGAGAAGATACTTCACTTGTTTTACCTCATATTTGGAGCAAAGCACAAATGTTTGGTCTCCTCCAGAGAAGATATGTTTAACAATGTGATATTTACAGGCATCTGTTGAAGAAAGAGATGTGGTTAAAGGCTGATGAATGCAAGTTCCTACTGTGCCTTTTCCCCCACATTTGCACTGCCAGTGTCTCAGGCTTTACACTACAAGGAGCACCTGGGTCCACTGAAGGCCAGGCTGAAATCAGTTGGAACTCAAGCACTTTCTTGAGAGATACAAAGGGCCTGGCAGGAGGGAAACGTTGTAATATTTAAACTGCAATGGTGGTTTTAAAGAGAAACCGAAGCCCTTGGAAATCAGTATTAGTACAATTTCAGAAAGGTTCAAGATTGCCAAATGTTGAGCTCTGCCATGAAAAGAGAAAGGGAAAGGGCACATGTTGACAAGAGGTCACTCAGTAATTTCCATAGTGCATTTGGGACAGTTTCAAGAACTTTCACAGAACGATGTTAAGATGTCTTTAGACAGCCATGGGTGAAATGAAATTATTTATGTCCATTTGCAGCTCCAAATCATGCGTAGTACGTACCAGGTTTCCCTGAGAGTTGCCCATTGTGAGCTGCCCAGTGACCCTTCACGGGAGAGGGACACTTAACATTGCAAGTGTGCCCTGTTCCCAGCTGGCCTCTCGTTCCACACCCAAATGCATAGATCATTCCTGAAGAAGGCACAAAGGCTAAAGTGTGATGTCTGTAACAGAGACAGGTACAAAGTTTGGGCCTTGTTTAGCAATTAAAAGGAAAAAAAAAAAATTAAACAGCCTAAATAAAACTTACTCTCAGTTCCTCTAGGCCAGAAGCTGGTGCAAAGCAGCATCTTTACACTAGCATCAATGCTCAATTTTTGCCACCTGATGGCACCAGTTTATGGGACCAAGATCTTTAGCTGGAAGTGAGAGCAGGCAGCGTATGCCAGCATACAGCTGGTATCAGGCTCACAGACGGAATTAGCTTAGTCATTTGCTAAGCCTGTACGTATCAAAAGGCAACAACACAGCACCAGCATTACTAACTCTCCTCATGAAAAAGGCTGAAAACTTGTGACCAAATGGGCTGCTGCTCTTAAGTCTTGCTGAATTACTAAGATGGAAAGATATCTTTTACCAGGTTACAGCACAGGGAACAACCCCAATTAAAAAACAAGCTCCTTTAGAGGGCCTTAAAATTCTCATGGGAAGTAAAATTTAAATTAACTTAATTTTGACATATAGGATGCAGAAGCAAGACTATTCCCCATATTTACGAGACTCAGCATTAATCTCCACTAAAGAAAATTTGTGACTGTGCACAGGACTCACCTGCCACAAGCAATCTGGGATACTTCGCTGCCCATTAGCTCAAGAACTCTTCGGGGGTTCACTTCATCATTCATGGAGTCATGTCCCAGTTGCCCACAGGAACCTGCACCGAACGTGAACACCCCTCCACTCTGTTAGCAAATCAAACAGCATATTCTTCATTTAGGGACTCAACCCAGCAGCATCTCTCTGACTCCAGTTTCAGTACGAGCCCAAGCTTAGACAGAGATTGCTGGGGATTTCAAAAAGATTCAGAAAAGAAACTTGGGTTCTGCTAATAGAGCTTCCACATAGCTACCTTGCCACCCATCAGAGACGAGCAGAATTACCTTTAGGCATGTCTACATTAGACAAGCTTCCCCCCCGCCATCACCAGATGACTCTGAAATCCCAGCAGGTTTAAACATGGTTGAGTAACACTCATTTCCACAATACTTTATACCCATCTCTGGCAGCTGCTGATCAAAAAAATCTGTGACCTTTTTCTTTGAACAAGAGCTTCTACAGAACTAATCTTCCATAATGTTGTTTTTCCCCTAGGAATCCCAAAGCCAGCTCTAATTCATTTTACAGTGGAGAACACTGAGGCACCAAAAAGGAAGCAACACCTAGGAAGTCGCAGAGGCAAGGCAAGAACTAAGCAGTGATCTCCCAAATCCCAGCCCTGTCCTCTGTCCACTAAACTATACACCACTTGGAAACAGCAGGTTTGGCACTGAAAACCTCTTGTAAATGCTGGGAGTGACTGCTAATGTTTCATTTAAACACCCATTCATTTTGACTTGCATTTTATTCTGATGCACAATATCACTCTCCTTATCTTCCAACAAAACACTATTTTAACCCCTTTAGATGTTTGTTAATTTTTTTTTTCTCAAAGCTAATTTCTTTGAGCGAGTCACCTGAGTTTTACTATTCATTGTCATGGATTGCTAACATCTTCATCTTCAAACACAGCAATGGATCATGCTGGCAATGAATCTCAGAATACATTATAATAAGACTATACTTTCCATTTAGTTTCTTTTACTGGGGTCAAATGGAATATAGTAAGTCAATCTGTTCTTTACTACCATTACCAAGGAAAGTAATGTGAAACCATCAGGCAGGCGAGCCAGCAGCCAGGGTTCCCAGGTTAGCATCTTTACCTTTGTCAGAACTGCTGTGTGTTCCTCTCCACAGCTGATGTAAACAACCTTCTGAGACCGCAACAGCTTCACATGACAAGGGGATTCTCGGTCTGCATTGAAGATAAAAGAAAATAAAGGAGCTGTTTCATAAACACAAACCTAAACGTCTCAGAAAACCACCAGCAGTCTGATTTTTCAGATGGGGTCTACGTGCACAATGGAAGCTTTAACAACTGTGGGGAAAAAACCACATCCTTGAGTACTTCGCTGCTGCTTTCCCTCTCCAATTCTTAAAAGATTTGTCCTCGCTCAAAGAAAATTGTCCAGAGCAAGAATGCAAATACTGAGAATCTTGCATAAACTCAACACAGGCTTGCAGTTTGGGAGGTACGATGAGTGCAGCCTAGCTACACCCACCTTCAGCCCATCGTGCTCCATTCCCAGCTCCTCGCTGATGACTGCAAACATTTGTTTCCAAAACCTTGCTTAGACCTTTTCCATACATAACAATCCTGACATGTGGGAGACACCAGCCCAGCACACATGACAAGCTGAATCCCAAGGTGTATTTAAATGCCTAGCCTTCCTTCTGTTGTCATCCTCTAAGAAGATCCTCCTACCTGCAAAGGCTAATCTCTGCCAACCATTAAATGATGCTTTTCTCCTTCACTCCGACATTCTAATCATTAAAAGTGGGTCTCCTGAGGATGAATACACTAAGCAAGGTTACGTGTTTTACTGATGTAAAAATAAAAGCTAAGTATTTCAAGGAGCAGTAGGCACCCCAAAAAGGTTAGATATTAAGGGGGAGCAGCTGCTTACTTCATACCAACAAAAAATCAGGTTCCTGCCTACAGAAGTTCTCCATTTTTTAAGACTCTCACCCAAGGATTTGACAAGTGCTTTTTTCTGGGTAGCGAAAGGAAAATGGTCACATTTTCATGGATTGAGAAATGAGAGCAGATTTTTCATTTAATTTGTTCTGTATTTTAGGACTCTGATCTTTATTTTGACAGGAATGACACTTCTTATCTCTACAGCATAATTGTTCAAATAACAGTGCTGCAGAATACTCGTGTTTGTAGACTTTGCTGTTCACGTTCACTAACTATAATTCGCACTGTCTTACCACGATTCACTTACCATAAATACCACGTATTTACTACAGTGCCACGTATTAAGGGGTAAGCAGAGTACGATCCCTGGCCAACACAGCCCCACAAGGAGATACCCCTTATATGTTCATCTAAGATTAGCCCCACATCAAAGCAAGACTCTCATATATAAACCGCAGCTTTGCACGCCTCTAATTTCAGCAAAGCTGCAGTTTATATAATAAGAGTTATGGAAAGAACATGGCTGCTCTTATACTAGACCAGCTCTAGCTTACATATAGTGCAAGAGAATAGACCTGGAGCATTTTTGAGAACACAAGATAGGCGACAAGTCTTACAGTTGTGTTTCATATTCCTAAAAATGTAAAGCATACAACATTCGAGCATCCTTTGCTAAACTACAGGCTGGTTTTGAGTAATCGCTTTACATACACATTTCCATTGGTATGGTGGGTTGTCAAAATGCATCATTCCATTAGAGGTACACAAAATGTGAGGTAATGCTTTCCTCTTGCAACATAGAGTATTTATTTGCTACTATACCATGCAACCTAACATTTACAAATATATACACTTCATATACTCACCCATGCAAAATAAATTATCCGTGCATCACATCCACACTCAGCAACTTGCCTAGATACTAATGCTATTCAGCAACTATGCAGAAAAACTATGAAGAGGTTGATTTAAAGCTCCAAAGAAAATATTTTACTCGCTTGCTTTTGCAAAAAAAAAAAAAAAGTTAAGAATGTGTTAACAACAAGCAGGGGAGATCTGGGCTTTTCAGATGAGTGGTAATGTCATATGCACTCTTCAGCCTCATTTATAAACCTATCTTCACGTCTGTTGATGGCTAGGCTTCACTGAACATTGCCACCTGAAAAAAACTACCATTGGCCCTGCATGTCTGGAAAATTATGCAACCAATAAATTAGACATTTTACAATACTAAGATACTCTGTGTTGCCATCTCTGTGTAGCATACAGTTGCTCATCAGTCAAAAACATGTTGGCAAACAAGGGGATGGGTTCAGCCTGCTGTTCTGCAGCGAGAGCCTTTGCTCCACATCAACTTCAAACAAAATATGGACAAAGCATTTTTGAGAAGAGAGGAAGAAAGAATATGAGCATTTCCTTCGATGCCTGCATGTTGACACTCAGATTTGAAAGAACTTTCTTTTTGACCTTTCTCACTTCCACTAGCATCCACAAGAGGAAAAAAAGTACTTCTGTTCCTACTAAGTATGAAAAGCCTGTAGAGTCCATCAGAGACTGTTCCTCTGCCCTTTCCTCCCAAGAGGAGTTGCTGAGGGTTACATATCCGCTCAGTAAAAATATAGTCAGCGTGAACAGACACACTAAGCCACAAAAGTCCATCCTTCTTTCACCTAGGAGCATAATTTTATTACCTCGTTCATCACTTAGTCCCAGCTGTCCTGAGCTGTTCTTCCCCCAGCCAAACACAGCTCCTGAGAGAGAGAGGGCAAAGCTGTGGGCTCCGCCTGCAGCAACCTGAGCCAAAGGGATCCCATCGAGAGACTTGACACGTTGTGGACTGGCTTGGGAAGGACACTCTTTACCCAAGCCCAGCTGACCATAGCTGTTCTGTCCCCATGTGAAGAATTGGCCATCTGAAACAAGGAAATAAAGAGAACAGCGAGTAAGCTGATCAACAGAAAAGCAAGTTTGTCAAAATGAAGAACCACCAGTGCTGGGGGCTTCGCTCCCACCCAAGCCTCATGATGGAAAAATCAAGCAAGAAATTCTTTGCAAAAATAAAAGCACAGTCTGAAGCCACTGGGTAAATAAACAGACATACAACTAAGTGCAAAATACAATATCAGACTGCTGTAACTTAAACAGCGTAACAAAAAACGGTCCACATTGCATACAGAAGAGTAATAGCCAAGGATAATTTCAACACAAAGAAATTACACAGTTTTCTACATCAAGATGAAAAGCTTTTAAGTGTTCCTGCCACCATTCACCAGTAAGACAGTGGGTGGTCTGTGTGTAATGTTTTCTCTCTTCACAGTATTGGCAAAGCTCTTTTTCAATATTCATGGTACCTGATCCATTTTATAGCCTCCCATTTGGCCTGAAAGCAGCTGCAACAGGGATGACCTTGGTCTATTACACAGAAATATACAATCTTGGACACTGTGCAAAATAACAGCACAAATCTTGGTAATAAAAAATGAATTTTACAGTACCTGCTGCTAAAGCCAGGCAATGCCAATTTCCACAGGAAACCTGCAGTATTGTCTGTTGGTTCAATTTCTTTATCAACCTAAAGATGACAACACTATTTTAGAACGTGTCCACAAATGCAGTTATCACCTTAGGTTGAAATCATGATTTCCATTCAGATATTAGTTCTAAACATACACATAACCTATGGTTTTCAGACTGGGGAACAGAGTCTTGAAGGTGATGCAGATCCATACATAACAGATGCAAATCTGTGGAGACCTTTAGACACTTGACTACTAAGTCCAACTATGTTTACTGCCACAACACCAAATCCAGCCATCTGGAAATAGCTGGTTCTTGGTGTCTCTCTCACTATTCTTTTGCAGGCATCAAGATTTCTCATACTGTCAGGGGCCTAGCAGTTCCTATGAGTTACAGCACCAAAACCTCTTCAGTGCCTTGTATAAAGAATAGCATGTCAAAGGTTCCAGTTTTTTCACAAAAATGTTATTTTTAAAACAGCACTATCACATTGACATGCGAGTCTGTCTCTCCCTATCAGAGCCACCTGCAAGTTACGGACTGTGTTCCCACAGAGCCCTTCAGCTCAAACATTAATGTTTTGTGACTGAAACTTTTCCTTTAAATACTGTTTCAATACTGTGATGGCCACCCTAGACAGATGTCCCAAACTTCTGCACTGGATCTGCAGTGGCAGACCAAATAAGAGACAGACTACCTGTTATTAAGGTAGCACGATACAACACCATTAAGTTCAAAGAGACCAGTTACCTTTATTATGGCAATAAACTGAGACCTATCATCTGTGAACTGGTTTGGATGGAAGAGTCTTGGTGTCTGCCACTGGCCACTGCCACCATCTATGTGTCCTTGCACTTAACCCTACTAGTGCTCTGACACAGATAAGCAACATTAAATAAGTAAACAAACGAAGAAAATTGAGCTCTACCCCAAAGTTTCTGAGCAACAGTCACTATTCAGTAGGCTGGGTTAGTAGCTTTGCTGCTAATGGGCAAGACTGCAAAAGTGCTTCAGAGCTGAGGTGCCAGTTCATGCAGCCATATATTTTTTCCCCGTTCTTGAAATGTATCTCCTATCTCAGAGGACTTCCTATGGACTGAAATAGAGACAGGTATCACACACAGAAATTCTATTTTTGGGTCCCCCCTCGTGTACCTCCTTGTTCTGTACAAAACACGGTGGCATTTTTCATTGAGGAAACCAAGCACACTCCAATTTTCTGTGCCCCAAGCACCCATGGGTAGAAGGCTTGTCCTGCCCAAACCTCCTGATGACTTGACTGAATCCCAGGGGTGCTCAGGGAGCACCAGTACAGTACAGAAAAGGAGAAGCCATCACCCTTACATCCCTAGGTGACAAGTGCCCGACTAGTGCCCCTCTGAGAGAAAGGCTGACTCCAGGCTGGAAGGCAAGCAACCCTTGATGCATCACCTCCAAGGAGCTGCCTTAAGGAAACCTGAACCTGTTAAAAATTTACCTTGGCACGGTCACTGCATCTTCTATAGTGGTGAGGCCCAACTGTCCATCGCTGCCAGCACCCCAGGAGAAGAGCTGGCCCTGGTCACTGAGCGCGACGCTGTGAGACTCTCCGCAGGCAACGTGTACGATGTGCTGCCCAGCCAGGGCTCCGATTTGTTCTGAGGAAAACAGAAAACCTCTCTGGTCACAGGAGTCATCTCACAGTGACATGCAGACATCAGGTCAGGGCAACATCTGTATGCAAAACCATTCAGATGGGTGCACTGATCTCCAATTTAGTTTTAAAATACTTCCTACAAGAGGAAAGCACCAGGTTTTCTGAAAACACATACCTGCTGAGCTTTTCTGAAAGCCTAGTCTGCAAATTATAGCAGAAAGGCAGGTAAATGCCCCCCCAAGCACAATGATGGTCTACACACACAGAGACACACACGCACCCACGCTCCCTGCCTCACAGATACAGGGAAACCTATCAGGTTATTTAGGAACGACTAAACTTCCCAGATTTGAGGTTTTCTCACTCAGTTTTGATGTGGGGATCAGCCAGGACCCAGAAGTTGGCAAATCCTGTAAAACATATTTGACCTTCCACAGCTCTCGTGTCTGATGAAGACAAGTCATCCACAAAGCTAATCAACCCATCTGCCCCTTGCTTTATTGCTGGATGTATGAAAGCGTATGTGTTACGACATCCCTTGTGCTAAGTTTGGAACATGTTTGAACCTATCAACCTATTACAACCACTGACAGACACTCATAAAAAAAGACCCATAAAAAGGAAGCAAAGCAAGAAGGCCTTATAGAGGAATAAAAGAAAAAAAAAATCACTCAGTCCACTGATGGAAAAACTCCCCACAAGCCAGACAGAAGCAGAGTTGGTCTTCCTTTTTCTTCCCTAAATAAATAAAAATGTTTCAGGTGGATGAAGAAATATTTCACCCAGTAAGTTACAAGGCAGTGATCAGTTTTATTAAAGTTCAACTTGCCTGTGACATCAGAGGGAAGGATAGTTACAGGTCATTCTGTGAAAATGATACCCCACATCAAGGGCATCCAGAAATCATCAACATTATTAGCACCAAAACCTGCATACTGATCAATCTAAGTGTCTTAAATGAATTTAAAAGGAAGGCACCCCTAGAAGGGCTTGCCTTCTAAGTCTGGGAGTCAGAAAATGAGAAGAAGAATCCCTAATGGATGTTCTAGAACTTAAATATGCATTCTAACAGAGAAAAATACTACCTGAACATGTGCTTCCTTTCACTTGGAATAATTAATGGCGATGGAGGTACAGTTTACAAGTAATAAGCAGACAAACATGTAGGAGGGCTCGAAGACTGGGCCAGCCTGCTGGCCATCCTTTAGCCCTGCCATTTAATAACACCCTTTGTGCTGCAGCTCTTTGCAGCAGGACTAATTTCACCCAGTCCCACTGCCAACCCTATGCAAAGACACAGACAGGCTTCGAGGGCAGTAACGCAATTTACGCATGCAGTTTCCACGCTTGGGCCCATAAGCATCCAACTATAGCACTGCTTGGTGGCCTGTTTTATGTTCATTTGCATATATAATTGAGGGAGCCTATTTTTATCCATGAGCTCTAAACAACCAGCAGCTGTACAGGCTGGTGAAGGTCAATCACAAACAACAGACAAGGTATCTCAACAGCACGCACGGCTATGGTCTCTTCCTCTCAGCCAGCCAGCCAGCCAAAATACCCACTGCAGTGTGACTGACACATCACCAAAGTTCAATCAAGCACGATTCTGTACTGAGACCTGAAAGTCCAAAACTAAAGCTCCTGCTGGAGAGGATACCACCATCAAAAGAACAGAGTAACAAAGCTATCCTCATCTCCACAGGAAATCCCTTTGATTCACAAACCCATCACTTTGCTATCAGCTTGCTGGCCAGGCTGCACTGAGAGTGGCCATCACCCAGAGTGCCTGAGCTCTTAAAACCAATCACAAACTCACCAGCCTGCCCTCCTTCCAAAGCTGGTCCTGGTACACTGCCAAACACTCCAGAGGACAACACAAGTCTGGCAAAACAACAAACATGGACACTATGGGAGGCTGGGGCATCCATATCAGAGACTGTGTTTTGCCACCTGCAGGGATGACTGAGGTAATTTCTTCCCTGAGAAAGCAGTATTTACCACAATAAGTATATGTGTCTCTCTTGCTGTAGAAGGACTCCTGCGAGCTGCCTCTGAACCATGGGAGCACCTTGGGGACATGGCAGAAGACTCCAGTGACCAAAGATCAGCATCAGGAGCTGGAGGAGGCAGGACTCCGACCACAGCAACAGTGCAGCTGGAAAAAAGAGTGCCCTGAGGTATCAGGAGGCTGTGGCGAGGACTACAAAGCAAGGGCTTCACACACTGGGACAGAGAGGACATCCAATGGGTTTAGCAATCCAGAGTGGTTGCTTCAGTCCCCACAGACTCCATCTTAAGTTTAATTTGGCAACACAAACTTGACCTTGCTCTTTGTGCCATCCCAGGGGATTAATAAATACCAACTTGTTTTGAAAGGCTGCCCTGTGTCACTGAAAACCTTCAGTGACTGCACTGTTCACCCAAGCAGCAGAGCACAGCCCTACCTGAACTCTCTGGATGACCACAGACAGAAAAAACATGCCTGTCTTGGAGCTGAAGATCTTTGCCTTTAGAAATGTACGTGTATGGCCCATCTCACCATAGTACAGTTCTAAGACCCTGTCAATCACAGTTTGACTGCAAAGTCATGAAGAAATGTAAACACCAAACAGTTTAAGTTTTACATGAAATGGAAAAAAGCCAATCTTCCCCTGGGGGCACAAACTGCCCAGGCAGTCCAACAAGAGTCCCAGTTCACTGTCAGGCTTGCCAAGCCACTGAAAGTACCATCTCCCTGCGAACACGGATAGTTATTACAAAAGTGTCTGTGAATTATCACTTTGTTGACCTTCTGCCCTGTCCTCACATCAAAATATGAGCTGTTTTAGTGGTTGGTACACATTTCTTTTGGTTTCCAGAGCATCACACCACCATTGTTCATTCCTTAGAAAAGATGCATCACTACACTGAGATGAAGGGTGCAAAGGGTAAAGTTTATTCACACTTAAAGTATTGTCTCTTCAGTAACTGATAAATAAAACCAGTCAAATGGAGATTAATAGGCACAATTACATACAAAGCTAAGCAGAACAAAACCCTGAAAGCAACAGGGAAGGGCTGAAGGAGTTATGCAATACAGTGTTTCAACATGTCATAAAACTTTCAAAAAAACAAAACAAAAAGAACCCCAAGTTCCAAGAAGTACCCACTGACCTAATCTTTTCTTTCCTGAAGCCATCAGCTGTCTCAAAACAGCACCAATGCTCAGAAGTCATTTATCAGTTCTTCGCATCTGGTGGAGTTCCAATTTTCACTTTTCTGTTATGTCTGCTTTAACTTGTGGATGTCAACATAAACAGACATATCGATGTTTGACTTTTTTTGGTCTTAATCTTGTTAGATCTCTTCATAAAATACACATTGGACCAAAGAATGAAGTCCAGGCAAAACGCTTTCAGGACAGCCCTTCTCTGAATGGTGACAGGCCTGGCTCCCAGGACTGCTCTTGCATTTTCTTGCCTGTCTGTGGTTTGCAGGGACACTCCAGCAAAAGTTGAGGACAGGTGCTATATGTTTCTGTAACTCAGCTTTCCAACAGTCAGTACACTTAGCTTGAAGGTTTGGAAATGGCAGTAAAGCTGGGCCAAGAATGAAAACCCCACCTTCAGTCCATAGCTTCACTATTTATGAAACTGGGCTTATACTTTGTCCCCACAGTGTCGGAAAGCTGTACAAGATCTTTGGTGTCTGTGTGTGGTGGGTTAACCCTGGCTGAGGGCCA